GGACATGGTGAGTGAGATCAAGAAGGGGGAAATAACAGTGGGGGGGCAGGTATCATGTGAGGGGCTGGGTGTCTTCAGGCTGGAATCTGACTCTTTCCACCTCAGATACCTCTAGGACAACACAAAGAAAAGTATTTCTCAGATCCCAGGACCAAAACTGTGCTGAGCCGATTTCAAGCAGATTTGGAAAATTTGGAAAGAGAGATTACAGCCCGGAATGAGCACCTTGACCTGCCCTATGAATACCTCAAGCCCAGCCACATAGAGAACAGTATCACCATCTGAGCCTGAGTTGCCGGCACCCAGGAGAATCCCAGGAGCTCTAGGGCTGCCACTGTCCTCTTGAGTCTGTGCCTCCTTACTTTTGCTGCTAAGACTCAAATTCCACATCAGTACCACAGGGCATTAAATGCTCTGCTAAAGAGGATGGTTTGGTCTCTGTGGGCCACACCCTTTCTGCCTCACTACTTAGCTCTCTCGAAGTACCATTAAAGCAACCACCGACTTCATGTGTGTGACTATGTTCCAATAAAACTTTATGTATGGACACTGAGATGTGAATGCCACATGTCACCAGATAGTATTTTGGCTTGCTTTTTTCTTCCCCCCATTTAAAAACAAAAACAAAAGCCAGGTGGTGGTGGCACTCACCTTTAATCCCAGTGCTTGGGAGGCAGAGGCAGGTAGATCTCTACAAAGTAAGTTCCAGAACAGCCAGAGCTGTTACACAGAGAAACTATGTCTCAGAAAAACAAAAACAAAAGAAAAACAGGCAAGTGGAAGAAAATAGAAGTGCTTTGCTTGATGGGTATGCACAATTTCAGATTAGATTTGGTCTAACCTCACAAAAACCTCAGCCCTAAAATTCCAGTTTCAAAACATCCAAGAGCCAGGACTGCCGAGAGGAAACTTATATTTCTGGATAAAATAAACTATTTTGGCAAATTCTCCTTTACCAGGAACCACATTTGGTGGCCAACTTGTAAATTGACTCCCTTCCTTGACAATTTCTCTTCTACCCCTACTTCTCCGATTCCAACACGTATCCTGAATAGCCCTCAATGGTGTTACTGGCCCCAAATAAAAGACACTTCCCCAAATAGCTTCCTTCCCTAACAGCCGAAAACAAAAGAGGCAGAAAAGCCTTGTTTCAAGCCCACTTTTCCTGCCTGCTTAACACCTGGTAATCACTATGTGCTTCACAAATTCTCTTTCACACAAAATAAACAAAATGCCTCAAGATTCTAGTCCATGACAGTGTTCCTCTGTTTGGTTCTGAGGTCTTGAGATTAAATGTATTCTAGAAATTCTCCTATGGCTATTGTCTTTAGTAGCATGTGTACACCATTCTCAGTGCAAAAGTTTTCTTCCCCTGTGGCCTTGAACTTGAGCTCCAGCCCTGGAGAGGAGGGTTGTTCTTTAAACATATCTAACTACCTAAAATAATTACTATAAATATGTTTCTCACTAATATTTCCAAATTTGTTTTGGAGAGGAAGGCCTATTACTTTTACATTTTGTGGTGGTTTGAACGAGAATGGCCCCATAGGTTCATGTGTTTGAATGCTTGGTTAACGGAGAGTGAAACTGTTTGAAAGGGTTACAGGATTAGGAGAGGTTTGGCCCAGTCGAGGAAGTATGTCACTGGGGGGTGTGCTCTGGTTCCAAAAGACCATGCCAGGCCCAGTCAGTCCTGTCCTCCCCAACAAGATTAGGGTACAGCTCTGCTCCCACCGTGATGATAATGGACTAAACCTCTGAAACTATAAGCCAACCCCAACTAAATGGTTTCTAAGAGCTAGCTGCCTTGGTCATGGTGTCTCCTCAGAGCACTGGAACAGTGATCAAGACACATCTCACGTCCTATCTTACTCAAAGAGCCTGCAGCTTTTTTAGTGGAGAGAGAAACAACAGCGACTTTTCGTGTATTTACTCTTTTCTCCCCCACACTTAGCAAGCCCACTTGCCTTCATAATGTGTCCAATGAGTCTGCTTTTCTAGTCCATATATTTCCTGAACGTGGCATTTAGAACGATGCTTTATTTCAAGTGTAGCATTTCCAGGGTCAAGAAGTCCGCAACTATTTAAAAGCGGTCCTTCAAGCAGGATGATAAGTCTTGGGAAGGGACTCTTCCTTTTTCCTCTCCAAGCGTCAAAGCATCTTTCAAAGGGAGCCCTGGATAGAGGCGACAGAGCAGCATGCCGAGTAATCCCACCGTCTCGCTCACCGTTTCCCCCATCGCAGAAGACCACCGGAGAGTAAGGCATGTGTATATGTGTGTGTGTGAGTGAGGGGGGGTCAGACGATCCCCCAGCTTCCCGACGTAACAGAAACAGTCCATTACTCAACTCAGAGTTCCGGTTAGACTCTTTCCAGACGCCGGGTTAAAGCTGATCATGTGACCTGCCAAGTCGGTCACGTGAGATGCTTGCTCCTTCCATTCCGAGACGCGGGGGTAGAAGAAAAGGAAGAACCGTCAATCAGG